ACATCCCCTGTTAGCTAAGGAAACCCCACAAACTTCTGGGAACCGCCCCAAATAGACTGTGCAAACTGGCGGCTCCAGTATATGGTCAAGGTCCTTGTGAGCGTTTTTGCGAATGACACATCACTGGAGACCCAACAAAAAGGAAGAACATCTCTGAATATGACCAACAATGTAAACTCATATCACCTAAACCTAGACCTATGAGACCCATATTTATACTTTAAATATAAATTAACTTTTACAATCCATAAACCAATAAACCAATAAACCGAGTTTTTATACTGTGTTAATTTACACAAATTAACACTTCTCAACCAGATTTCATAAACTCGGGCTTTTTAGTCCAGACGTGGATAAAGAGATAAAATCACAATGCAAGGAACTAATCCATACCCACAGAACCCACTAAACAATTGATCAAGCAGAATACGGTTTCAGAAAAATTATGAGGACAATCGATAATGGACAATGAAATTTTGCCTGGTAAGAGCATAACTTTCTGCAGGAACAACAACATGGTTTGTACACTTCATAAAAAAGTTGCATACCTAGGAGCAGGTAATGGAGGCATACTATTCCACTTCTTCGTCTCAGTGTCAAGCACGAATGTCCGAGCTGTAGGCCCTCTGCATTGGGGTCCGTATTGTCCCGATACCACGTAAATGTATCTGCCATCACTTGCTACTCCTAAATGAGAATGTGCCATCTCTTTAGGCATATCAAACTTCCCAACCCATGTATTATCGGTGAAGTTGAACATGTCAACATGAGAATGCACCTACAAAAATATTAAAATATCAATAATGTAGAACTACCATATTAACAAAATTGAGGCTGAGCAAATATGATGACACTTTCAACAACCCAATCACGAGTCGTCTAAGCTGAAAGAAGCGGAGGAGATATAATATGTTATTCTCTCTCTTTTAGGATTTCAAGAAAACCTGATATACGTTGGACATTAAAATCCTAGATCAAAAGCCAAGGAGTAGAACTGAAAAAAGCAATCAGTTCATAAATTAATACACAATCAAAGATGCTTTACAAGGATTGCAAAAAGATTCTTACATATTCGATGGTTCCATATCCTGCAAACACGTAAAATATATTCTTAATCTGAATCGCTGCTCCATCAAGACGAGGTACAGGGGCTGATGGCATCTCCTCCCATTCTAAATCAGGTGCAGGTAAATCAAAATAGGTTCCAGGCAAGAATTTTCTAGAATCAATCCTCTTTTCTTCTAGAGTAGATACTTCCTACAAAATATGAGTTCGTAAGATCGATTGAATCCGACAAAACGCCAAAAAAAATAATTCAAAAAATGAAATCGCGCGAAACGAACTGGGATTGAATTAGTAAGTCTCACCTTGCCAGCATTATCAGTCGATTCATCTGGTACAACTGGAAACTTGGTTCTCTCGAGCGCCCAATTTGATGCAATGGACAAATACGCAGAAGATGAAGAGGAAGACGATGTCCAAAGAATATCTGCAATGAGAGCGGAGCCCAGAAGACCGGCACAAGTTAGCAGAAAGACTAATTTCTTGGTATAAGAAGCGTTCTTTTGATGATTTCTGGTCATTTCTAGTCCAAACTATGGAACCCATGATCGACACAAGTAGAAATAGGAAGAAAAATGGAGAAAAGAGAGAGCCTGGGAGAACCCAAAACTTGGGCACCGCTGGTTTAGAAGCCATACTGCGCAATTGCAGCACACAGCTTTTTAGATTTTCTGCAAGAGAAACGCGGTGGAAATGGATTCGGAAATTGAATCAATTTACCTGAAAAAGTTTCCATTTTGTTCAAATGATCTAAATTATAAAAATTGACTTAACTGACCCAGTTTTAATTTTTCTGACATTTTAGAGAGTCTGCAATTACGAATATACCCCCAAATGAATTGAACTACAACAAATCTGGCACAGAATCACCTAGGTTGGTGTAATTAAGACCATGGGCGAGTTCCACTTGATTCATGGCCATAAATTTATTAAAGTACCACCAACTTAATAATTCCCCACCAAATTTTTGTACTATCATTTATTATATACCCACACATTCTCACCGAGTGTAGAGAATAAAAGTACGTTTCAGTCCGTATTGTTCAGAAGCACATCTTTCACGTGGTTTTGAAGAACTTCCATACCTTTTCCAACATTTTTCACATCTTGAATCCATTAAAGGAAGTCAATTTTTCATCTCTGACACCTTGAACGAGGTTAGTTTTTTATTGGTTCATAATATTGTTTTCAATTCGTCTAGAATATGATGTATTTAGTTGGAGTGAATGGAATTTCTGAATTTTTGTCAGTATTTTTRTGGGTAAAAGAAGTTACGTAAGTCAATGATTCATGRCSGTGTTTATTCGTTTAATGRYCGTGGTCAATGGTTTTATGATTAACGGCCGTGGTTTTAGGTCGATTGCATACAGATAWCCTTGATCGGCTGACGACCATGGTCCATTTTGTCGATTCKTGACCGGGGTGTTTAGGACCACGGCCGTGGTTGTGTGATTAATGGTCGTGGTCATGAGTAAAGACATTGACACAAGACAACCACGAGCTTTAATTTTCAACACCACGACGGCCGTGGTTGTGTGATTAATGGTCGTGGTCATGAGTAAAGACATTGACACAAGACAACCACGAGCTTTAATTTTCAACACCACG